CCAGCAGGTCGAGGCTGCGGTGGTCGGGAGTGACCACTGCACTCCAGTCTGGGCGACAGAGTGAGACTCCAACTCAAAAAAAAAAGACTACTCAGATGTCTCCATTTTGTAGATGGGTAAACTGAGGCTGAGAGGGCCATTTCAAGAAATGGCTCAAATGACAAGAACCAGGCCAGGGCCATTTGCTCTGACAGGGGCTCAGGAGGATCTGGAGGGAGAGGCTGTGGTGGTCTAGGCTGTGGGTTGCAGGTAACAGAGCCCAGGGCAGATTCTCATAAGCAAAGCAAAGAGATTTACAGACTGGGTTTTGGTGCTTCTCGTTGGTGTTGTCCCCTCCCCTGGTGACAAGATGGCTTGCAACTCCAGGGCCAAGTCCAGGAGCAGAGAGAGGCCGCTCCCAGCTGCAATCACTCTGAGGACACCCCATGTTGGCTCCCAGGAGTCATAGGGGCAAGAAGGCTCCACTGGACATGTGTCCACCTCCAGAGTGGTCTAGGCCAGGTGCAGTGGCTCAAGCTTGTAGTCCCAGCACTTTGGGAAGCTGAGTTGGGAGGATCATTTGAGGCCAGGAGTTCAGTCTGGGCAGCATAGTGAGACTCCATCTCTACAAAAAAAAAAAAATTATCTGGGTATGGTGGCATCTGTAGTCCCAGCTACTCTGGAGGCGAAGCAGGAGGATCGTCTGAACCTCGGAGGTGGAGGCTGCAGTGAGCTATGATTGCATCGCTGCACTCCAGTCTGGGTGCCAGAGCGAGACCCTGTCTCTAAAAACAACACAAAAAGCCTGTGGCCTGTAAGTGATGGGAGGTTGGCCCCAGAGGAAAACAGGTCCCCTGAAGATGGAAAACAGATGTGCCCAGCAGCATCCCCAGAGAGTTGCCGGCGGGTGTGGGGTGTGGATCCTACAGCATCAGCCCGGGGGTGGGTGTGGCTGTGCCCCCTGCTGCCCCTGCTTGTGGGCCTGGGGATCGCGGTGACGGAAGCCCCCGCCCCCTCTCCTCTGCCCTCTAGTGGTACCCAAGTTCGAACTTCTGATCCGCCCACCCCGGTACATCCGAGACCTGGACGCCTGTGAGACCGGCTCTGTGTGGGCCAGGTGAGAGGAACCCGTCCCTTCCCTCGTGGCCACACCCCCAGGGCATCTCCTCACTGACTCCCCCCAGGATGTGCTGGTGCTGGGGGCCTTCCGCTCCCCCCACCAACCCCTCCCCCGGGGCATCCTCCCTTCCCCTTGCCTCACTGTCAAGTTCTTCTCCCAGGACATTCTCCCCACTGACTGACTCCTCTTTCTGGGGTGCGCTGGAGGCCCTCCCGTTCTTCCACCTTCGTGCCACTCACCGCAGGGCGTCTCCCCCCAACCTCCTCCCCCCTGGGGTGTGCTGGTGCCCTCTCCTTTCTGCACAGTGGCACCTCTCACCCCAGGGCATCTCCCTCCCCTGCAGCCTCCCTTCTCCGGACCCCTTCCCCGGCCTCCTTCCCTCCCCCGTGGCCTCCTCCTGCGCCAGAAGCCTTTCCCAGTCCCGTCCTCTGCATGCCCTGCCCACACTGGGGTCATTGCTGTGGTGCCACGCTCCCCTTCCTCCTGTGTCTTCCTCTTTCTGTCGCCTCCCTCTGTCAAGGGTGCTCCTCCAGCGTGCCTCCCCCCAGCCTCCCTGGCACCCACTGACACCCCGACCCTGGGGGCTTCTGGAGGGGCTGCCCACCCAGTGCCCAGTACTGCCCAGGCCCAGAGGGCATCAGGAGGCACCGCCCCTTTCTGGGCCACGGAGAGAGCCCTCAGGGGTCCCCACTCCTGTCTCATCTCTGTCGAGCCGGAGGTGCAGCTGGGGCAGCCCTGGCCTGTGTCTCCTCCCGTGTGGAGCTTCAACTCCAGCCCAAGCAGTGCCTTTTGTGCCAGGGCAAGGCCACTGAGGTGCTTTGCTGCGTGCCTCCATTTTGCTCCATTCCCACACACAGGTGTCTCCTCTGCAACAGGAGTGACACGCAGACACTGGTTTCTCTAGCATCTCTGAGGATAGAGTTTTTCCCATTCTCTGGGTGCGAGGAAACTGAGGCACAAAGAAGTCAGGTTCCTGGTTCAAGGTCAACCCACAGTTGCTCATGCCTGTGCACTGCCCTGCCCCAAAGGCGTCACCCACCTTGCCTTCTCAGCTTCAGAGGTCCCCTCTGACACTCGGCCTCTTTTTCTGTCAAACTGGAAGCTTGGCCGAAAGGATTGCAAGGCGTGACATCACTTGTCCTGACTCCAGGCTCGGGGGACCCTCCCCCCAGCGTGGAGAGCAGACTGCAGGATGGGGAAGGGAGCCATGTCCGTCATTGTAGCAGTGGACACGCCACGCAGACCTGGTCCTCTTGAGGCTGGCCTTGCCCCCTGCCCCTTCTGGGGCCCCTTGGCTGTGAAATCGAGTGCCTTTTATCATGTCGTGCCAGGTATACCTTCGGGAAGCCCGTGTCGGGGACCTTAGCAATCAACATGACCGTGAACGGCGTGGGTTACTACAGCCATGAGGTGGGGCGCCCGGTCTTCAGGTCCACCAAGGTGAGCAGGCCCCACCCATGGTCACATGCTGTGTTTTACTTTTCTTTACTTTCCTTTTTTTTTTTTTGAGTCGGAATCTCCCTCTGTCGTCCAGACTGGAGTGCAGTGGCCACTCCCGGCCACCGCAGCCTCGACCTGTTGGGCTCCGGCGATCCTTCCGCCTCAGCCTTCCGAGTAGCCGGAACTACAGGCGCGCGCTACCACGCCTGGCTGACTTTTGATTTATTGTAGAGATGAGGTCTCACCAAGTTGCCCAGGCAGGTCTCGAACCCGTGGGCTCAGGCAATCCACTCTCTTCAGCCTCCCAAAGGTACGGGATTACAGGCTGAGCCACCGAGCCTGGCTTGTTTTACTTTTCAAAACAGGCAAATGGTGACGACATTCCTGCAGGCTGAATACAGAGTCTTTAGAACATGCAAAAATAAAGATGACTTGATCTCCAACAGGCAGACACAAACACTATTGGGATTTTGATGTGTTTCCTCCCGGGTTATTGTGTGTAAAGTTAAAAAAAAAATTTTGTGGCCTGTAGTCCCAGCACTTTGGGAGGCTGAGGCAGGAAGATCACTTGAGACCAGGGGTTTGAGGCCAACCTGTGCAACATAACAAGAATCCAATTCCTAAAAGTATTCAGTAAAATCCAAAAAGGAAGAGTGATTTTATTGAGCCGTATCACATATCTTACAGCTCACCCATATGGATTATACAAATCGGTGGTTTTCATACAGTTGCAGTGCTATGCAACATCGCCATTACCCAGGTTTAGAATAGTTCCACCATCCCCCAAAAACCCTCTGTGGATAATCTTCACTGTCTCCTCCAGCCCCTGACAACCACCCATCTGCCTCCTGGCTCTCTGGATTTGCTGGTTTTGGACATTTCTATCAGTGCAGTCACACATGTCATGGCCTTCTGTGTCTGGCTTCTGTCACTCAGCGTCGGGTGTTCAAGGTTCACCCTCGTGGCCTGCATCAGAGCCTCCCTCCTCTCATGGCTGAGTCGCTCTCCGTGGATGGAAGGACCACAGCGTTCATCTGTCCGTCTGTCCTCTGGTGGACATTTGGGACATTTGGGTGGTGTCTACTTTTTAGCTGTGATGTGCTGAGCCGCTGTGAACATCTGTGTACAAGCTTTTGTGTGTTCGCATGTTTCCATTTCTCAGGGTCAGTATCTAGGAGTGGAATTGCAGGGTCACAGGGCCATTCTGTGTGACCTTTTGGGGAGGCAAATTGCCAACACGGCTGCACTATTCACAGTCCCATGCATGCAAGGTGCTGTCACCTTTTTCTGTCTCGCAATATTATGTGACATCATGAGCCTGCACCCAACTTCCTGGAGATGCCAGTGCAGGTGCCTGGCACTCATCCCTCCAGCGCCACCTCCTCCCTCCACCCAAAGTCCCTTCCCCATTCCGCTCCTGCCTGGGGCACATCTGCTCTGACTGGCACTCCCTCTGTGTCTCTGAGATCTTGGAGGCTTCTCTTCCATGGCGTGGATGCCCTGGCCCCTTGCTTCTGTGTCTCCTGTGGTGTCCCCAGTTTCCCTGCATTCTCCCAGGAGGCTGCTGGCTGGTGGCATTTGACTTCGTCCTCTCATTCACTGAGTAATTTTTCCACAGCTGCTATTTCTCAGGCCCCAGAGGGGGGTCCCTGAGACAGGGGTTGGGCGGGGAGTTCTGGGCTCTGGAGCAGGGATGCTGTGTTCAGATGTCCACTCTGCCACTTGGGCTGAGGGCAGTTGTGCCATGGAGGGAATCTTTCTTCGTCTGCCTGATAGAGCAAGGCCCATCTTCCCTGGACATCGTGCAGACCCAGTGAGGGACCATCTGTCCAGTTCCGTGGCGCAGCCTGGGTGTGTCACCAAGGTTCCCTTGGCCCCCCAGGGCGTGTGTGTGGGTACCCTGAGCGAGCTCAGCCTGTGCTTTCCTCCCTCCAGATCCTCGGCTCCCAGGACTTCGCCATCTGTGTGAGGGACATGATGCCGGCAGGTGTCCCCGAGCACTTCCGGGGCAGGGTCAGCATCTGGGCCACGGTGGCCAGTGTGGACGGGAGCCAGCAGGTGGCATTCGATGACTCCACCCCTGTGCAGAGGCAGCTGGTAGACATCCGCTACTCCAGGGACACGAGGAGGCAGTTCAAGCCGGGCCTGGCCTACGTGGGGACGGTAACTTGGGGGGCTGTCTGTCCCCACCCAGGCCACCATGGGAGCCTGGCCCCGGCGAGGGCAGCTCTGCAATGGCGACTCTGCTGAAAATGGGTCTTCGCCCATGGAACCCTTGCTCTGTTGGGACCAGGGCCACTTGGTGGATTCCAGGCCAGGGGCCAGGGGACAGTTTCTTCCATGTGAGAGGACGACTATTTTACTCCTTGTAGATGGGTGTTCCTGCACCTGCAGCATCAAACTAAGACACTGGTGGCCATTAGTAAATGAAACTCTCTAAAATTATGCCTTTTCCTCCTCCTCCTCCTCCTCTTCCTCTCTTCTTCTTCTTTGAACTGGGATTACCCTCTGTCATCCAGGCTGGAGTGTAGTGGCACGCTCATGGTCACTGCAGCCTCGACTTACTGGGTCCAGATAATCCTTCTGCCTCAGCCTCCCGAGTAGCTGGAACTACAGGCATGTGCCACCACGCCCAGCTAATCTTGTTTATTTTTTGTAGAGACAGGGTCTCTCCATATTGCCTAGGTTAGTCTTGAACTCCTGGGCTGAAGCAATCCTCTTGCCTCAAATTGCTGGGATTACAGGTGTGAGCCACTGCACCTGCGCTGTTTCTTTTTTTTTTTTTTTTTTTGAGTTGGAGTCTCACTCTGTCACCCAGACTGGAGTGCAGTGGCCGCTTCTGGCCACCACAGCCTCAACCCGCTGGGCTCCGGCGATCCTTCCGCCTCAGCCTTCCAAGTAGCTGGAATTACAGGCATGTGCTACCATGCCCGGCTGATTTTTTAAAAAATTTATTGTAGAGATGAGGTCTTGCTGCCCAGGTGGGTCTCGAACCCGCGGGCTCAGGCAATCTACTGACCTCAGCCTCCCAAAGGTGCGGGATTACAGGCTGAGCCACCGAGCCCGGCTGCGCTGTTTCTTAATTGGATTGATTTTATCCCCTGAGGACTTCATATCAGAGTGTCCCAAAGACAAAATCCCTGTCCCTGAGACCCACAAGTTCAGACCCCCGGGGGAAGAGGCGTTTTGAACAAACCCCTGCCTCCCACCTGCCCGCCCGACTCTCATGCACGTCAGTTTTAAATATCTCCATTCTCATTGTTAAACTGGGTTGTCTTGATGGCAACTGCAGCTGTGGGGGGTGAGGCCAGCAAAGCCCGGGGGCACCCCAGGGCAAACAGCCTTGCCCCGACCCTTCCTCTGCCTACGCCCCTTTTCCGTTTGCTGTCCTCAGGAAACCCTCTCGATGCTGGCTGTCCTCACTCTAAACCCTGATCCTCCACTCTGTCTGGGACCTCCCATCTCTCTTCCGTCCGAGCCACCTCTGTCCCTTGGGCAGTCACAGCTCTGTGTCTCTTGCCCTGAGGGTCCCAGTTCGAGTGGAAACCACAGTACCTTGTGCAGGGTCAGAGTGTGTTTGAAGAGGGGCCTTAGGGAGCATGAATTTGGCCAAACAGGAGTGTTTCATGTATGGCCCAGAACTTACCCACCATCTGCATTAGAACACAGAGCAGTCAGTGAGGACCATGCAGGCAGAGGCCCATGTCCTTGTCACCAAATGCCTACATAGCCAAGGGGCTGTTTCAGGGTCCCTCGGGGGCCACAATCCACACTCCTTTCTAAACAGCCACATCCTCTGTGTTCTGACTGTCTGGGCCACCAGTCCAGGCAAGTGAGGTCTAAGGGTTCACAGAGTGTCCACACTCTGTCCACCCGTCCCCATCCCACTGTGGCATCAGACTCAGGCCTGCACATGGGAATTTGTACTTGATGACTTTGCCAAATTCAAGGACATGAAGGTTTGCTTTATGTTTTCTGCTAAGAGTGTTGCAATTTTTGTTATTGTATTCAGATATACAGTTGATGTTGAACTTTTTTGTGTGTGGTGTGAGGTAGGGGTAGGGGTCCTGCTTCATTCTTTTGCATGTAGATGTCCCGTTGTCCCAGCACCATTTGCTTAAAAGACTGTTTTTTTTTTGTTTTTTTTGAGTTGGAGTCTCACTCAGTCGCCCAGACTAGAGTGCAGTGGCCGCTCCCTGCTGGGCTCCGGCGATCCTTCCGCCTCAGCCTTCCGAGTAGCCGGAACTACAGGCATGTGCTACGATGCCCGGCTGATTTTTGATTTATTGTAGAGATTAGGTCTCGCTGCCCAGGCGGGTCTCGAACCTGCGGGCTCAGGCAATCCCCTCACCTCAGCCTCCCAAAGGCACGGGATTACAGGCTGAGCCACCGAGCCCGGCTTAAAAGACTGTTTTTTTCCCCCACCATTGAATGGCCCTGGCACCCTTGTCAAAGACCCTTGTCAATTCCCCCTGGATATGTGGGTTGACTCTTGGACTCTCAGTTCTATTCCATAGATATCCATGTCTTTTTTTTTTCTTTTCTTTTCTTTTTTTTCAGAGACAGGGTCTTGCTCCATTGCCCAGGCTGGAATGCAGTGGTGTGATCATGGCTCACAACAGCCTCAACCTGGGCACAAGCAATCCTCCCACCTCAATCTTCTGTGTGGCTAGAACTACCAAACCCAGCTAATTAAAAAATTTTTTTGTGTGTGTGGAAATGGAGTCTCACTGTGTTGCCTAGGCTGGTCTCAAACTCCTGGCCTAGGTAATCCTCCTGCTTCAGCCTCCCAAAGTGTTGGGTCTACAGGCATGAGCCACTGTGCCTGGCTCCATGTCTATCTTTATGCCAGTGACTTGATATCTTGATTACTGTAGCTTTGCAGTAAGTTTTGAAATCAGGAGCTGTGAATTCTTTTTTTTAGATTGTTTTGGCTGTGGGAGGCCCCTTGCAGTTCCCTGTGGGCTTTAGAATCCGTCTGTCAAATTCTGGGCTTCTGTAGGACACTGTGCTGAGTGAGTCTGGAGATCCGTTTGGGGACCACGCCCCCTCAGCTGTGTTGTGCTTTTGGTGACCCTTTCAGGTGGAGCTGTGCTACCCAGACGGCAGCCCAGCTGAGGGGGTGACAGTCCAGGTCAAGGCTGAGCTGACCCCAAAGGACAACATCTACACCAGCGAATCCGTGTCCCGGGGTGGACTGGTGGGGTTCGAGATCCCGTCCATTCCCACGTCAGCCCAGCACGTGTGGCTGGAGGTGGGTGAGTCTCCCAGATGCTGTATGGTCAGCCAGGCTGGGATCGGGCACCGGGCCTGAAGCTGTGTCCTGCCCTGAAGGAGTTTGCCATCCGACAGAGGTGCCAGACCGTGGACGGGTCACCCAGCCATCCTGGGACAAGGTGGGAGGCCAAGAAAAGATATGGGTACCTGGTGCAGTCATGCCACGGAAGCATCTCTCCAGGGGGACTCGAGACCTGGGTAGGTCAGCCAGGCTACTGTGGGGAGGTGGAACAGCATGTGCGAAGGTGCAGAGGCATTCCGTGACCATGGTGTAATTGGGTTCTATAAGTGCTTAGCCATGCTGAGCCAACTCAGAGAGAGATGGGGAAGGGAACCAGCGAGGACGACCCCCGACTCATGGCAGGTCCTGGAAGGCAGCATCTGGGAGACAGGGTGATCTGATTTATGTACATTTATTTATGCATTTGTTTATTACAGTATTAAAGATGAGGTCTCATTATGTAGCCCAGGCTGATCTTGAACTCCTGGGCTCAAGCAGTTCTCCTGCCTCAGCCTCCCAAAGTGCTGGAATTACAGACCCGAGCCCAATCTTACTTTTTTTTCTTTAGAGACAGAGTTTTGCTCTGTCACCCAGACTGGAGTGCAGTGGCATGGTCATAGCTCACTGCAGCCTCAACCATCTGGGCTCAAGTGAACCTCCCACTTAGGCCTCCTGAGTAGCTCTGACTATAGCATGTGCCACCACACCCAGCTGATTTTTAAATTTTATCTTTTGGATTTTGCTGTGCTGGCCAGCTATGGCCATCTTCTCTATTGCTCAGGCTGGTCTTGAACTCCTGACCTCAAGTGATTCTGCCTTGTCCTCCGAAAGTGCTGGTATTACAGGTGTGCCCAGCCAAAATGTGTTCATTTCTAACCAAAAGCAGCAACTTTTCAGCTTTTATTCTGTGGCTCAGTCTCAATTTTTTTTTTTTTTTTGAGTTGGAGTCTCACTCTGTCACCCAGACTGGAGTGCAGTGGCCGCATCTGGCCACCGCAGCCTTGACGTGTGGGCTCTGGCGATCCTTCCGCCTCAGCCTTCCGAGTAGCCGGAATTACAGGCGCACGCTACCACGCCCGGTTGATTTTTTGATTTATTGTAGAGATGAGGTCTCGCTGCCCAGGCGGGTCTCGAACCCGCAGGCTCAGGCAGTCCACTCACCTCAGCCTCCCAAAGGCGCGGGATTACAGGCTGAGCCAGAGCCCGGCTCTCAGTCTCAATTTTATATAGGCAGTTTCGGAAGTGGTGTTAGAGAGCCTCCCAGGAGCCCAACACTATGGCTGATGCAGGGGGCCTTGTCTCTCCAGCACGGGGATATTTTGTGGGCTGAATGCACAGTCATTTATTTGTGGTATCCCTGTGTCAGCCACACTCCTTTAGCAGCACGTGGAAGAGACCAGCTCAAAGCCCCCAAAGAACAAAAGTAACATAATGGTGCCAGGCCTGGGGTTGCAGGAACAGGGTCGCATGTTCCCGGTTGACCTGGGTCCTGAGCCAAGGACATGCTGTCCCACACAGCAGCCCTTCCCCTGTGTTAATTTCCCAAGTTGGGTGTCCCCTCCCAGAAGCCCCTGCGGCCACCAGCAAGCAGAGTGTAGAGAGAGCAAGCCTTCCCCAGTGTGCCCTGTGGTAGAGCTGCCTCTCGGTGGCCAGAGGGGCTGTGTGCCTGGCCTGAGCCAGCATCCTTAGGCCGGTCTTGGATACTTGCTGCGTGCAGGGAGCAGAACAGGCTGGACCCCTGGACCCCCATCCCTGAGAACTGGGAAGGAGATCCCCAAAGGGAAACCAGAGCACGATGCAATCAAAGCATCCCCTAGACCCCCTTCCTGTGCCTGGCACCCGGGACCTGACCAGCCGTCCTTTGCTCTTCAGACCAAGGTGACAGCCCTGAATGGGAGGCCTGCGGGGACACAGTACCTGCCCAGTTACCTGCCCCTCGGCAGCTGGTACTCCCCTAGTCAGTGCTACCTGCAGCTGCAGCCACCTGCCCGCTCCCTGCAGGTAAGTGTTCCATGCTGCCCTGCTGGGGCCAGGTGGGGTTCAGGAAGAGTCACAGCCTAGCTGGGTTCTGATGCCCCTGCCAGAAAAACCAACACCGATGCAGCCGTTACAATGGAGACAGAGTTTAATATCACAAAGCAGCTGAATGAGGAGGGTAGGAGAAATTACTCAAATCTGCCTCTCCCAAAATTCAGAGGATAGGTCTCTGTAGTCGTTTTGTTTTTGAGTCGGAGTCTTACTCTGCTGCCCAGTCTAGAGTGCAGTAGTGTGATCTCAAATGATTCTTCTGGACTCAAATGATCCTTCTGCCTCAACCTCCCAAGTGGCTGGGACTATAGGCAGGCACCACCAGGTTGGAACAGATAATTTTTTGTAGAGATGAGGTCTCACTTTTGTTGCTCAGGCTGGTCTCTAACTCCTTGAGTGCTCTTCCTGCCTCGGCCTCCCAAAGTGCTGGGATTACAGGTGTGCCCAGCCAAAATGTGTTCATTTCTAACCATAGCAGCAGCTTTTCAGCTTTTACCTTGTGGCCCAGTATCAATTTTATATAGGCAGTTTCAGAAGTGGTGTTGGGGAGCCTCCCAGGAGCCCAACACTGGCTGATGCAGGGGCCCTTGTCTCTCCAGCACGGGGATATTTTGTGGGCTGAGCCACGGTCATTTATTTGTGGTGGCTATCGGCTTGCAGCCCAGGGTTTTCTGTGATGATCACCACTGAGTCCTAGGGGCTGTGGCTCCTGGCTTTGGTTCCCGCTGTCTGGAGCCTTCCTTGGGCTGTACAGAGGGTCTGAGGTTTCACCAACCAGACACCTGCAGATGAGATGAACTCAGAACCTTGTCTCACGTTAGTTTTTGCAATCCTGACTAGGTAAGATGTGTGTGTGTCTGTGGGGCGGGGGTTGATGAATAGACTCGAGATTTTTTTTTTTTTTGAGTTGGAGTCTCACTCTGTCGCCCGGGCTGGAGTGCAATGGCACACTCACAGCAACCCCAGCGTCGACCTGCTGGGCGCCAGCAATCCTTCCACCTCAGCCTTCCAAGTAGCCGGAACTACAGGCATGTGCTACCACGCCCGGCTAGTTTTTGATTTATTGTAGAAACGAGGTCTCACCAAGTTGCCTGGGCTGGTCTCGAACCTGCGGGCTCAGGCAATCTACTTGCCTGACCTCCCAAAGTGCTGGGATTATAGGCTGAGCCACCAAGCCTGGCCAGACTTGAGGTTTTTTTTTTTCATTTTATTTTATTTATTTATTTATTTTTTTGAGTTGGCGTCTCACTCTGTCGCCCAGACTGGAGTGCAGTGGCCGCTCCTGCTG